GGACCGTACCAGGTTAGCATGCTTTGTACCTAAATGTGCACTTTCCTGTTTAGTACCCTTCCCTCCTCCTCTACAGAAGTTTCACTCAAAAGTTACCTTGTTTTAACTACAAATAACTAATTTTTGCTGTTTAATAATTACAAAAAGGGAGCAATTGCACGCTCTCAGAACATACAGAGGTCTTTGCTATCTTCTCACTCGCTAAATTCAGCATATCTCTGAAGGACTGAAAAGGAAATGGAGAGCTAAGCAGACTGCTCTGCTCCTGACCCATTAGTGACTGGGATGTATGTAATATGCTTAGTTATAATGGGAATTCTGGCCTTAAGGTTAGAGGTCTTGCACCTCCTGCATATTTTTACACCCGTGTCTACTGCGTACGGGGTAACGCTGCCTGGCAGATGATCAATAACTACCACCTTTTATTTTTCATAGTAATTGAGGTCAGCGAGTTCAGGTCTTCACGGAGTAGCCCTTGCTCAAATGAGAAGAACTTTCAAAGCTAGGTGTAAAAACAACAAGCTCTCAGGTCACAGTGGTAGTAATTTACAATGCCTTTGCACCGCTCTACCCTTATACGCAGAGTTCAGCTCAGTGAGAACTGAGCCCTGAGACTAGTAAATCTGGTAATTTCACGCAAGCGTAGCCAAGCTGTATTAAATATTCTAATTACAACATAGGCTATCAGATTTGAAATTTGGGCCTGCAATTTTCAAGTGATTCATGCCTACTTTTAAGGAGGTTGTGCTTTCATACCCTGCAATGGGAATAAAGGCATGGCTACAAACCTGATCTTTAACTATTTTATTCTACTGCCTGTGCAAAGAATCACGTCCCTCTTGATCAGGACCGATGGGGAAGGAGCTCTCGGCTCTCTGAGCCGTTCAGCGTCTCCTGATGCTGTTTTTAAAAACAAGTGCTGTATTTGACTGTAGTATTTATGGCAGATTCCATAATTCTTTCCAGCTGCCATGGGGAAGAGAGTGTAAAGGCAGAAAGCCCAGTGTTACCAAAATAGTTTAGACAAGAAGCCAAGCTAGAGAAAATAGGACTGGCCGGTATTCTTTTACGTCATGAGCTCAAGCAAGGGCAGAAGGCGGTTTTGGTTTACAGCAGCCTGTGAAACACCCTTAGCCGAGCCTGGAGCAGCACCAGGACGAAGGCAGTGCAAAGGCGGTGTTGAACAGCAAGGGCAGAAGCTTCGGTACTGTCAGCGTGTTCTGGCTGACGGTTCTGACCGGCCCAGGCGATGCCTGGATTTCGCTAGTTCTAACTCGCTGTCTGTCTGTAGAAGATGCTGCCTGCCAGAGTGTGGACACAGCTACGGGAAGCACCGGCACACCTGAGAGCGATGAAGAAGCAGAAGACGTAGTTACAACCTCCAGCTATTTTTGCAATACTGCAAACCAAAGGAAGAAAAGGAAAAGGCCGCCAAACTTCAGAGAATCAAAGAGGAAAAAGACAAGTAATGGTGGCAGCCAGCAGTTTCGTCCCAAAGGGTACGTTGCTTGTGGTCACTTGTAACTTCTCGTTGTCCAGAATAGCGTGGTGATGATCCCAGAATCGCAGTTATCCTACTGCATTTTCTTGAGTGCGTATGGGCTTTAAGAATGGCATTAAAATTATCCGGGCACCTGCTAACAACTGCTCTACTTCGGGTTTCTAGCATTTTCTGTTTAAAAAGCTCCTGGTGAGGAAGGTTATTATTTATTCCTGTCCCTTGTTTCTCACTCTTGACTGCCACCAGCTAAGTTAGTGACACTAAATTTCAGTGTGCTGCCACTACCATTATTAGCAGGCTGACTGGATTCTGTGCTTGGAAACATAAAGACAGCTTGAAAGTTTGAAGATCTGATGAAATATTTGAACTTCACCTCCCAGTCCCTTGTTAATTCAGAACCTCTCCCCCCGATTGTACCATACAAGGCTACGCCTGCATCGAGACCGCAGCATTGGGATCCAGGAGTCTGCTGGGTCTTGAGCTTCTAGGGCAGGTCGGCCACCAGGCCGTCACAGGGTGACGACGGAGCCAGGCCGGGCCTCGTCCTTTGAGTCAGTGGCCTTATTTTAGCAGTTTGTGTGGTCATTAGTCTGGTAACTCCAGTAGGAGCCGTCTGTGCTGGAGGTCCCTGCCTCAAAACATGCTGATTCAGCAGTGCTGGAAGGGAATGAAGGAGAAATGGTTGAAGAAATTCTGCCCTCCCCCAAACCCTCCTTAAAACCAGGGGGAATGACATCAGAAAACTTGAGCAACGAGTTCTTATTTGGGTTTTACAGTCGTGCCTTTTCCACGTTTGCTGCGCTCAGAGCTTGCCTTGCACAAAAAGGAAGTAAAGTGAGTTGCCAGCACTGTGGTAGGGGCAGGTTACTTAACCTCAGCCTAGAAATGTTACCTCGCTTGGTATAGGAGATAGAGAACATGAGGTACCAAAGAGCGGTCATGCGAACAACCCACAGCGTGCGTTTCTGAAACAGCTCTTTGAATGGGGTTTTGTTCAGTCTCTAAGTGTCACAGAAATTGCGTTACCAGCCGGGAGGAGCTCGGGCCGTTCGGAAGCGCAGCTCTGAACGGGACTAACGCGCTCTCCCAAACATTCTGTAAAATCCCCTCCCAAGAGTCACGCCTGAATTTTAACGCCTGTTAGGGTTTATTGGTATATTAACTACGTACATGTTACTGCTTTAACGTTGCATTCCTCAAAGAGAAAATATTGCCTTACTAAAACTCGTTGCTTTCTGCCACTGTCTGTCCTTTCCAAGGATGTCTCCCCCTCTGCCCTGTTTTTCCTCATTCTGGCCTTGGTTTTTCGCAGCAAAGAGCAGTTCCCAGCTCAGGAGGTTTTACTCCCACCCGTTTCACTTTCCCATCTACTAAAATATTAGTCATTAGATGCTGTTGACCCCAAAGTGTCACTTCATGTTGATACTCTAATTGGATTAATAGGAGTCAGCTTGGTTCAGCATTCTCTGTCCCTGTTTCAGGCTGCTGCTTGCCCTTAGGCAAATGCCAGAGCAACAGCTACACTTGATTTACATTTCAAAGGTATCTTTGCAGCCATGCGTATTAAAAAAAATCCAAACCAAGCAAACCTTTTTCAAAATGAAAGCATAGTCTTCTAGAAAATCTAATGGTGGCGTAGGGAATGGGGCCGGTGAAGCGGACGTTTGACGCCTGCCTTCTCTCTGAACTTGGCAGTGGCTACAGCAAGTACAGAAGGACCAAGAGGCCGTCCGGGGCGAAGGCTTCGTCCGGGCACGGTTCAGCGTCGAGCAGCATCAGTGCCACGCAAGGGGCTGCGGGAAAGCTGGGGATTATGGCACCGCCGAGACCCAAAAGCAGGCACTTCCTTCAGCCTTCATACTCGATATTGTAACTAGGAAAATGTACGTACTGTATAAAAGCAAGCCCTGAGGATGTAATCATTGTTTATTTAGTTTTTGTTTAATTTGCTGGACCTTCTGAGACTTGTACATTTGTCAAGTACAAAAACTCACCTTAAATAAACGTTTTTAAACTCCTAAGTTTATTTGGACCTTTCTTTCTGCCTGGCTCTGGAAACCCTCCTCGTTTAGCGACGGTAACCCCTGTAAGCCCGCGTTACCGCTGTCTCGCGACCACGCGTCCAACGCGGTTACCGGCGGCGCGGGGGCCGAGCTGCGCTGCTGGGGTGTTCGCCCCAGAGAGAAAATATCATTAACGGGTCTGAGTTTCACATTTTCTCCCCCAGGTGCTGGGGAGCCTCCAGGGAGGGCCGAGCCCTGCCCCAGCTGTGCTGCTTTAGTTGTTAATCTAACAGCAACCCGAACAGCTGCGCGCTCGTCACAGCCGCGGTGAAGGGGAGGTGAGGAACCGGTCGCCGCTTGACGGGGCGGAGGCCCTCGGGCCGCGACGGCTGGTTTGCGCACTTCATGGCCCGTTTCGAGCCTTCGGGCCGTTTCAGCTGCCCTCGGGGTTACAAACGCTCGCTTCTCCTCTCCCGAGCCCGCCGGGCTGTAGCGCGTGTTTGCGGAGCGCGAGGACGTCGCTGCTCGCCGCCGCGGCGGCCCGGCTGTCGCGACTCTGATCGCGCCGGCGAGCGACTGCGGGGAG